GGTGTGGGTGTGTGTGGTTACATGTTGTACAGTGTTAGGGTGTGTGGTGTTGGTACAGTGTGTAGGTGTGTGTGGTACAGTGTGTAGGTGTGTGTTGTACAGTGTGTAGGGTGTGTGTGGTACAGTGTAGGTGTGTGTGGTACAGTGTGTAGGTGTGTGTGTACAGTGTGTAGGTGTGTGGTACAGTGTGTAGGTGTGTGTGTTGTACAGTGTGTAGGTGTGTGTGTTGTACAGTGTGTAGGTGTGTGTGGTACAGTGTGTAGGTGTGTGTGTGTACAGTGTGTAGGTGTGTGTGGTGTGTGTGGTACAGTGTGTAGGTGTGTGTGGTACAGTGTGTAGGTGTGTGTGTGGTACAGTGTGTAGGTGTGTGTGTGGTACAGTGTGTAGGTGTGTGTGTGGTACAGTGTGTAGGTGTGTGTGTGGTACAGTGTGTAGGTGTGTGTGTTGTACAGTGTGTAGGTGTGTGTTTTACAGTGCGTAGATGCGGCGGACAGACAGGTCTCAGTTGAGTTGGTGTCCTCTGCTTACTTTTAAAGTTTGTAAATAAAACTTTTGGCCCGTAATTTCAATTCCCCATTTCAGCGACCAGAGAGGGGGGTCTGCATCTGTAGCCTGTTATTGTCTCATTATACCGCACTGTGAATGTATCAAAGTAAATATATAAGTCGTCATGAACACATCTGTCCATCAGACAGAGGGCTGCTGTGCCTCCTGTCATCATTAATGGACGTCTCTTTAAAATGACCCTCAGAGCAGAGGAGTTCTCATTTCTCTAACTGCCTGCTGCTTCCCCTCCTCTCTCCTCGGTTCCCTTCCTCGACTCCTCCGCTAGCATCTCCTGTGGGCGGGACTAAGACACGAGGATAGGAGTCGAGGAGGGGTATTAGAGAAATGAGAAACCTTCATAGTGTCTCCTTTAGCTGCAGTTATAAATACCCTGTTGTTTTGGTCGTGAATTTGTTTTCACATCTCTGTTTTCGTTCAATATGTATATATTTGCTTTACTGTATTTTATGTTAAAAGCCTTGTTTAACAACCAACAGTTTACTGGCACTTTTCCCCTTAGTGCTGTAAATGACCATGGTATGGTTGTCAAGGAAACAGCTCTGCAGTATACTATGTTTACACCTCTGTGATGTAGGTTTGTGAAGCCAGCTGCCGGATCACAACATTAACTCATGTATTCTTAAAACTGCACTTTATCTTCATTATGACTTTTATATAAATGACTTTAATGTGAATGTCTCTTTGAAATATCTGAGGAACAAAGATACTACTATTTTTATCTCACCTGTGATCGATTGGTGGGAAAGGACTTTGCTCAAACATGACGTTTATGGTACACCAATGAGTGATTTGACCCCTTGACAGGGGAGATAAAAATAACGCTGGCAACTCAGATGACCAACTATATACCAACCGGCACGATCTCAGTTCTCTCTTATTTACATCCGGCAACTTCAAGCTGCTTGGCTGAATCACAGAGCTATCGGATAGTTGTTTGACACAAAAATAAGAACTGTTCAGTTGCATTATCACCACCCTGGGCTGAAGAAGGATCGCCCAAATCAGGGTTTCCACACTTTCTTAAACATCAAATTCAAGGACTTTTCCAGTACTTTCCATCCCTGATTCTCTTATATTCAAGCACCCATGGCTGTAAGGTTTGGGACGTATAGAGTTATTTTAACACATAAAGCAACACTTTATCTTATTTACAACTGGCAACTTCCTGATTATTGGCTGAATCACAAATCTATCGGATTTATGTAAAAGTGCAAAATCCACCACAAAGTATTTTGGTGCTTCTAGCCAGATGTTTTGAAAATGTAAATGCATTTCTCTCTTTATATAAAAGTTGTTAGCAAGCAAGTAAAACCTTGAGTGTCTTCTTGCAATGTTTTATAAATCCTCTTAAACATCAAAATTAAGGACTTTTCCAGGTCTTTGCAGGCACGTCATCATATTTCAAACCCCCAACGCCGTCAAGTTTGAGACATGGAGAGTTTTCTTGACACAAAAGCAACACTTCATCCTTTAACTTATAACTAACATTATTATTTCTTAATTGAACAAGGACCACGCATAAAATGACATCATCTCTTAAGAGAAGAGATGACTCATGCCAGATTTGAGCTAATAGCTTATTTCCATCTGCAGTCCTTTCCCTGAAGAGAAAGGGGATAAAAAACGTAATCTGAAAGTAACTTAAGGTGTTGGATAAATGTTGTGCAGTAAAAATAAATATTTGAGACATATTGAAGAAGTTTGAAGTCACATAAAATGGAAATACTCAAGTACAAGTATCTAAAATATGTACCTAAATATAGCACTTGAGTAAATAGACTTACTTACATTCACTATCAATAATAATAATACGGAACAAAAACTAACCAAAGAATGAGTTGATGCTGTGGCTCCATGATATTTTGCATGAAGACAGGATGAAACAAAGTAGATGCAAAGTACAGCATGTGCGTCTTCGGGGTTATTTCAGATACAGATGGCAGAAGAGACAGCTTTAATCTTGCAGTAACATTGAGTTATGAATCACTTACGTCCTCGTTGGTGGTCTGGTTGAGAGAGATCAGGTAGGTGTGGAAGCCGGTCAGTCCCACCACCGACCACAAGGTGAAGAAACACACCAACACCTCCAGCACCGTGGGGAACAGTTAAGAAAAAAGCAACAGCTGTTTCCTGCCCGACACACGGTCACTGATTAAACAGCAGATGACGGCAGACAATTATGCAACATGAATAATGACAGAGGTTTTTTTTAAAGGAACAAAGGCAGGAAGCTTTTACATTTGAAAAAGACAAGAGAAATGGCCAGCTGGAATTTAGCTCTTATCCATATGGTCTGTTTAGTCATGCTGGCTGGGGTTATTTAAAATACAGTAAGAGCAGGGCAGAGTTAGTAATGTTAGCTTGAACTCTAATAGCAATAGGTTACTATTGAAGCTATTCACCAATAGATGGTCATGCTAAAAGATGGAGCTTATGTAGAAGTAGAAAAACATTTTTTGAATCCATGCATGCATTTTTGCTGCTGTGTTTTTGGTTTTTTAAAAAGGCCACGAAAGGACGTTACAAAAACTCTAAGCTTGACAGGCCTGCATAGCTATTATGTTAGTCTCACTGATCAGGGGTAGGTTTAGGAAACAGTAATAGTCAGGGTGTGATATTTGAAACAATCTGGATGTCTTTCCATTTCCTTTTCTAGGAAATCTGACAAACATCATCCACACAGCAGCTGTTTTTGTGACCAGAGCCTAAAAGGATATGTTCCAGGTGTTTCCTTCAAAGTGTTCAAAAAGCCTTTATCCACTGAACCTGTGAACAGAGCAAAACAGAGGGAAGTTAGGAAAAAAAGCTTTCAAAAAATTAAAATGCTTCCCTACTAATTTTTCCTCTACTGAAGAGCACAATATATATATCCTTTATTTAACCAGGTAAAAGACTCATTGAGATTAAAATCCCTTTTCCAAGAGTGACCTGGCCAAGAAGGGCAGGATGTACAAAGTTACAACAGACATGACAGGCAGACAAATACAGCTGTAAAACACAAATAAAACGGCACATTAGCCAGTCAATATGCGAAGTAAAACAAACTATTAAAAATCATTAAAAACTGGCAAAATTTAAAACGATTTTAGGACATACGAGCACTCACATCTACCAATGGTGTCGTGTTCTCTGTCCTTTAACATGGACCTGAATTCCCCCATAGTGATTCAATCTGAGCGTTTCAGCTCCTTCTGAACATTATTCCAAGCTGTGGGGGCAGCATTTTGAAAAGCTGTACTACCCAGTTTTGTTCTCACTGTAGGAACCAGCATCTGAATAAAATCTTGGAAGTGCAGGCCATAGACATATAGCACATAACTGCAGTATTAAGGTAACAGGCTCAGAGCTAATGATCCTGACTAGAAGCACTGTTTCCTCGTCTCTCTGTCGCCTCGCTGCCTGTTGGGTAGAACAAGGAAGCAGGAGACAGGTGAGGAAAGAGGAATCATGTCAGGTTGTCGCTTGCTTTCATGTCTCGCTGCAGGAAAAGCTGGTCTGAACGAGGTCATAGTTGCTGCTCATGTACTGTAAGACTCTGCAAAAACTCTGGAAGCTGCTAATGAGTTTGTGTCAAAGGTTGTTCTTCCTGTTTTACCACAATCTTTCTATTCATACTCTAATCTCATACATGTTTGTTCCTTCCTGTTGCACAAACGGCTGACAGGATACTCACGCATCACCACGTGGACGATGTCGAAGGTGAAGATGTAGATGGTGAGCAGGGAGAGCGACAGGGTGAACATGTAGAAGTATCGGTAGTTCCTCTTGCCCACACAGTTCCCTACCCATGGACAGTGGTGATCAAAACGGTCTGTAAAAAAAGGGGGTCTGTTTGAATAGGGAAATTGTACAGGAGCTGCAAAAACAACTTAGAAAACAGATACTTTTGGAAATCAATCGAGTGTTAAAAATACACCGGTATTTCAGTCAAAGAAAGCTTTGAGCAGCAGCTTCTGTAAACCTGCATTCTAAATATAGGGATCACTTCCTCTTGGCCTCTCCTCTTCTCTTATTTGGAGGAGAGCCAGATGAAAGCAGGACAGGGTCAAACGGACACAAGGATGGAGTTTCACAACAATATACAGTAAATATAGAGGCAGGAACACAAGACCTGGAGCAACTCGTAGATTCAAAAATAAAAGCATACTTTATATATTTAGAGAGAAGACGTTCCGTGCTGTCCTTCTTGTTTACATACTATATATATTATTTCCATAAATATTTGGTGAACATAACATGTTCAACTTAAATTTGATGCTAAAGTGACTAAAGTGAGAATTGTGTCTCTTTCAGTCTCTGCATCCCGAACTTCTGTTCTTACACAATGTTACTTTTCGTAGTACATAAGATATTACCGCAATAAAAGTAGTATTTTTCCCTCTTATGTCCTCCCATTGTTGATTTACAGATCTTACTGATGGACAGGAAGCATCGCCTAATTGCTAACGTCACAAACATTAACTGACATTATCTAGTTCCACTCATTACATAACTAATGTAATCATAACAAATNTGTGTGTGTGTGTGTGTGTGTGTGTGTGTGTGTGTGTGTGTGTGTGTGTGTGTGTGTGTGTCTACAGCAGGTGGACACAGATGAACCAGTGTTCACAATGACTGTGCACTTATTCCCTCACTGAGCCTCCACTGTCTCCTCTTATATCGACTTTGAGTCTACGCTGCCTTTAGACGCATTCCTCACTCATCAGCAGCCAAATCACTTCTATTCTGCCGAGTTGAGAGATGAGACAGCTGCACACACACACACACACACACACACACACACACACACACACACACACACACAAATTCAAAGCGCATTCCATAAAAAATACCACTTTGATCCAGCTTTCTAAAACTTTTGTTTAGTCCAAAAAGGTATTTATAAAGCTACGATTTCAAACCTTTTCATTATTGTGACAAACGTATGCAGAGAGGTAATTAAGAATAGGGCTTCAGAGATAATCCTCACATCACAAAGCTATTTTTCCCCACAGGAACTCACCTTTCTATTTCTGAAAAACTGAAATAAACCGATTTCAATGAGCTGTCTTCTCACTTTGTTCAGCCTTTGACAGCGGATCGGAGGACGTTTCTTTCTTACCGACGCAGTTGTCACAGATGCTGCAGTGAGAAGCTCGCGGAGGTCTGAAGATCTTGCAGGTGTAGCAGTACTTGAGCTTCACGATCTGGTTGTTGATCTGAACGTTGCGGATTCGAGGGGGGGGTCGCTGCCCCGCGGGGACGTTCCCATTAGCAGCCTCTGGGGAAACAAAGAAGAAAAAACATTCACAAGCAGGTGTTGGCAATCTTGATCACACAATGAACTGGAATGGCATTGGACGAGCAAAGACCTCCTCCACCAAGGCCAATGGTGCATTCAAATGCTCCACGCTTCAGGTGGTCCCATCTCCTAATGTGGGAAGTTGGGCTTTATCTGTTTTATTTGTTCTATGTACTATATATAGTCATGTTACACTGTTGGAAGAGCCTGTGACCTAAGTTTTTCATTGCCATATCTACACTGTAGCTAGTGTGCACATGACAATGAAGCCTTGAATCTTATGTGTTCATCAGCCTTAAGTTTAATGTAAAACAACATGGACGTGGAGACAACAAGAACATGTGTTGCTTTTTATTGCTCAAAGCGTTTAAACAACACTTTTATATATTTTCCAAGTTCTTTTTCTGAGTCGGGAACTCATTTTTTTATGATAATTCAGACCCAAAATGTGTGCAACCAGCACCACTTTCTTATCTACCAATGTTACCTAAGGTCAAGCATAATTTGTATATACTATAAATAGGTTCTTCATTGGTCAATGCCTCACCCCAAGACAAGGGTTTATGCAAATAGGGCCATTAGTTTTTCCATAATCATCTACACTGCTATTAAAAGTTTTTATCTCATGGTTATCTGCTACCTACAACAACACTACAAACTACGGCTGCTCAATTCATCGTATTTTAATCGCGATTACGATTATGGCTTGCAACGATTACGAAAACAGCGTAATCGAAATAAAACGATTATTTTTTTATTATTATTATTACTTTTTTTTTTTTTTGGGGTTTTTCAGTTGAATTATACTTAAAGTTCAGGGTAATCAACTGTTAAAAACATACTGTTCACATTTTTTTTCTCCAATTAATGGATGTTTGCAAAGTCAATGAATAATCGCATTTAATAATCGCAATTACAATTATTGACCCAAATAATCGAGATTATGATTTTTGCCATAATCGAGCAGCCCTACTACAAATTATGTCCTCAAAAGTCACAACTAAAATCTCTGAGAATATTTTCACAATAAATGAATAGGTCTTAAACAGGCAGTGAGAAATGTGTGATTCAGTGACAGGGACAAGAAAAAGAAGGGACGTAAATCTCCACAGCTGAACCTTGAGGGAGTCAGGGAACGACAGGATTGGCTCGATACAGTATTGATGATGCTGCATTTCTATGTAATCACTGCTGAGCTGTAAATATGATGTATTATTATCAACACTGTGACGCAGTGTCCGGCTCTGTTTGGGCCTCAGCTAACCTTCCTAACACTGACATATCTTGAGGTGAGTCATTTAGACCTTTCTGATTCAGTAGCACTGCAGGAGCTGAGTGCAGAGAGCTAATGACCAGAGGGCTGACACCTCTCCGGAGAGTTCTGTTAGAGAGAAATCCTCCATTACCACGCTGTATAGAGAAGCTGTGAATGTGCCGTTAATGGAAAAGAGCATTACGGAGAGCTCATTTGACTTTGTGGGGGTAAATTAAGAAAAGGAATGTGGCATTTGTGGAAATACATTATCAGGAATAAGAAAACGTGTTCAGAGATTAAAATAAACTAAAGTGTTTTGTTTATCATTTTTATATTACTGAATCCAAAAATCTGTATTGTAAATAAAAATGTGTTTGTATGCAAAGCTTCTATATATCTAGAGACATAAAGATGGTGAAAATGACTTGATCTGACGGCACAAACTGCTCAGCATCATGAATCTACTGAATGTGGGATTAGTGGCTTTCAGGATAAACCAGCGGAGAATAAACAAATGACTCATCACTCACGGGGGGATGATGCCACTCCCTCGGGCAGCAAAGCTCAGTCTGGTAGTGGTATTATATATTCCAAGAGGATGCTTCTCCTCCTATTAGCAACCCCCCCCTCCCCCCCAGGGACTTGTGTCTAACAGGCTTTTTCCATACCTGCCTTCAATACTGGCTGTTCGCTGTTAGCACGCCCACACACATCACAGCAAACAGATAACATAACACAGTGCAATTGAATCTGTGCACATTCTGGATATTAGGTGATTAAGAACCGGCTATTTTGAGAGATTTGCTGAGATGTGTTTGGTGGAATGTAATAATGGCCATTAGGTGCCTTTACCTGAATATAATTTCTTTTGACCGCTTCCCTGATTTAATATATATTTGGGTTTACTGGTGATTTAACAACAAAGTATATTTGTGGTTAAACCACCTTGGGCTCTTGGAACTTGTGATGGCCATATTATGATTTATATTTAAAAGACACAATTATTGGTGGAAGAAATAATGTAGAACTTGAGCAATGTATGCTCATCCAAAGTTTTGATGATGATGATGATATCTTACAAATAATATTGTTCTTTTCAATGTGTTTTCCTCACAAATATGACACAAGCATTCATGTTCCTGTTGTACAGAAACACGTTAGGCAACAATGTTTGTAGCTTTAGGAAAAGATTGCGGTTTGTAAAAGCGTCATTAAAGTACACAACCTAGGTACAAGATACGTTAAAATACGTCATTTCTGACTTGGTTTCACTCGGGACTTGACCAGGTCTCCATGATTAAAGCCCTGTGCTTTTTGACCCATCCATCCAGCCCAAAACAACCATAAGTTGCAGCTCTATTCACAATAATAATTCCTAGTGAGATTTCCTTACATGGCTGCATGCAGGAGCTGCACAGGTCATCACGGCCGCAGCTATGACCAGCGAACCATTGTCATGCTGCGAGTGGTATGAGTTAGGGCTGCTCAATTAATCGTATTTTAATCGCGATTACGATTATGGCTTGCAACGATTACGAAAACAACGTAATCGAAATAAAACGATTATTTTTGTATTATTGCTTTTTTTTTTTTTTTTTTTCAGTTGAATTATACTTAAAGTTCAGGGTAATCAACTGTTAAAAACATACTGTTCACATTTTTTTTCTCCAATAAATGGATGTTTGCAAAGTCAATGAATAATCGCATTTAATAATCGCAATTACAATTATTGACCCAAATAATCGAGATTATGATTTTTGCAATAATCGAGCAGCCCTAGTATGAGTCACAGCCATTATGAGAGGAGTGCTGCCAGATGAACATCCTCAGAGGACCGCCTGCCTCCGCCCTGCTTTTACACCCCCCCTCTGTCATGAGCCAGCCTCCACCCATGCCTCTCCACCGGAGTGAGAGCACGAGTGATGGCTGAAGGACACAGTGAATCTTTAACAGAGACGAAGAGTGAACATTGACCAGCCACACAGGCAGAAGGGGGGTTCCTCCAAACAGGAAGAGAGCATGGCCAACCCAGGGAGAAAATATGCACTGCGTTTAATTAGTTGTTTGTGTTTTTGTTTGCAAAGGCTTTGTTGTCAGTTTGATGCAGCGTATCGTTTGTGTTGTGTAATGAAACAACAGGATCCTTTGTAATGAATGTGTGTTAGACTCAGCTCTGCATCCACAGGGAGCACGGCCAACCTTCAGCAACATAAAGAATAACAAACATGGATAAACCAACAGGACTGAGGCTGTCTGCTCACTGCTTAACTAGCATATGAAGTATTTATGCCCCCAAAATACTTTCTCTTGAGCTACCTCCAACATCATTTAGACTAACAACCAAGAAAGAAAAGGTGATGTAACAGCAGCATGGACTCTAATACCTTAACATTTGAATGGATGTAGATAAAGGATTTGTGCCGCGTGGCTTTATCAGCACTGATTGTGAATAACAGCCGCTCAAGGTGAGGAGCAATCACAGAGGTGAGAACACACGCTACTTCAAACCTGGCAACACTCTGGATCTGAGCAGAAGGTGCATGAAGAACGATGATACTGAGCTGTTCTTCTATTATCATTATAAGCTGCAGATATTTCATTGCAAACATTAGAATATACGATTGTTATGTGCTCAAATGCATTCTTCAGATTAGCAGAGCCATTTTTACATTTCTTATTCTGGCAAAAGTCAAATAAATATTTCATGTCAAACTAATGGAATCACTCAGTTCACCAGCGAGTCCTCACTGCGTCTGCTGTTGATGTTGGGCAGGTAGTGTACAGTGAGTGTTTACTAAAAACAACTGCCTGCTCAAATGACAACGCTATTAGAGTGACCCAAAACAGCGATGTTGTAGCCAGACAGACAAACAATGAGCTGACACGTTATATATCTCCATGAAGCTGAGGGGAGCTGACCCATTTCACACTGACTTCATATTACATTTTAGTCATAAAATATTGATTAAAGCAACTTTAAATACATTTTCATCAAAGTACTGACACTATCACAACTCACACTTGATTATGTGAGTCTGCCACGCAGGAGGACTTGTTCAGAGGATGTTTTGAGGATTCAAATCTGATCAAATCACACCAACACAGGCTTATGAAGTCATGAGTGTTCAATATTAAGGATTGGAAGCCAAGTTTCGAGCAGAGTATTGGGGAGACAAGTGCTTTCTAGATTTGAGAGAATTCTGTAACTGTCTTTAAACTCACCAATCTCCATCTCAATGAATGTGGCTTCCTCTGGCAGAGCTCGTGGCAGCACCCCGGGGTCGCTGAAGCTCGTCCTCAGCAACATGGCGATGACGAAGAAGAAGAGCACGATGGCGAAAACTGGGACGGAAGGAGACAGATGGACGGCCAGGTACGGACATCTGAGGGAAAACAAAGAGGATGAAGAGCCGGTCAAAAAGCAGGTAAGGTTCCTCAGAAAGGTTAAGAGGGGAGGGGAGTATTTTATATAGCATACTATTAGAACAATGTATGTTTTTGATACCTCATTATTTGACCTTTTTGACTGTTGGTTGAACATTTTGCACCTTGGATTTGGGAATGTGATGGACATTTCTCCAACATTTGATAGACAAAAGAAAATAGTTGCATGTAATTGTTAGTTGTGTAATTTCCCACAAAATGATTATTCTTTGAAATGTCATGTGTTTGCATCACAGGAATACAGCCGATAAGAGAAGCTGTGGGGTTCATTATAAAAGCGGCCTGTGCAGGGAGGGCATGACACGACAACACACACATTCTGAACTGGTGTTGCGAGCACAAGGTCATGAACCACGAGAGCTGCCCTTTCTCCGAACCGTCCCGAAGTCATGGCCGTGAATAAACAACACCGTGTCGCACCCCCCTCACCTTCTGGAGAAACATTAGCATGTCCCCGTCAGCCCGGCCACTGAGACCCCAGCCAGCGGAGCTCCTGTTGCTCAGGGCGATAACAGATGAGCTGCAGAGGCTGCGGTATGGGCATGAAGTTATTAATAGTTAAACTGTGCGGCCTCATCTCCCTGCCAGGTGGATGGGATCGTATATTCATAATGCAACACTAATGCTGCTCTACAGGAGAGAAAGGTATTGTGCTACATCCTGTACAAGACTGACTTTTGTTCTGCACGTCATGCATGACACAGACTGCACACAGATGACACACCCTCTACTTTATTATATGCAAAGGAGGACCATATCAACTCTGTAATATTTGTAAAACTCTCTTCTGAAGAGTCATCAGGCTATATTACATTTACATGTTATCACCTTTTTCAAGCAGAAATCAAATCAATATTATGCTTTAATTATTCTTAAATGGTAATAAACTGACCATAATTGGGTACTGCCCTAAAGAGACTTTACCTTGGCCGTTAAGAACTTTTTAA